CGCTCCACAGGTTTTTGTGCAAAAACCTTGTAGTGTAGACATAGCCAAAGTGATTGTGAGCAATTTGAACGTGTCTTAAAAAAAGAATGAATAAAAAAAGTTGTTTCCTCTAAATCCATGGCATCCAACATGCTAGCCGCTTGTGGCTATTTGGCCGGTTGAGTGTGGCTAATTCACTACAGTGGCTACTGCTTCAGAACTGGTTGGATACCACCATTGAAGATCATATTTTACTCCATTATATCAGTAAAAACCCAGACTAACTATTGAAGACAATGAATTGCTCCTGATTGATACTAGAGTCCTGAGGAGGATTTGACCCCTTAAAGAAAATTTAAGATCTTGAAAAGTTACTTGGTCAAAAAGACTTCAGCAATTCCAAACTGAGGCAAGAACTGAGAATGTGTTGAACTGGTTATTGGTTTTCTGGACTTTTAAATTTTGCATTGAGGATAATTGCTACTTTCCTCTTAAGGTAGAAATAGTTTAATTCAAAAAAAACCAATGACCCATTTTGTGATATTGTGGCTACTGGTAGAAAAATCCTAAGAAATATAAGAATGAGCATCATGAGTAGGAAACTTTCTGATAGCAGTTAAAATATTTACATCTGAAACCTATATGACTCCCCAAAAACTTTCAAGCTAGCAATCTGAGAGAAAGGATCCCACTTTCTAAAAAGCTTTTCCTCAAATCATCACAGATGACACTTCACAAGCAAATAGGTTTTTTTTTGGGAGTGGAGAAGGTGACAGGCGAGGAAAGATTAGGTATCTAAGGTTTTGTAAAGTTACATAAGAAAACAGATGAAAAAAGTTCTGCTTTTCAAAATAAGCAAGAAAAAAGATAGTATGTTCATGTTAAGGAGTCAAAAGACTCTCTGCTTTTAATCATGGCTCCACCTGTTCTTGTGGCAAGGGAAGTGTCCAGAGTTTACTCCTTGTTACACAGAGCTTCATAATTCAAGTATTCTTTTAAAACACCCTATAGGCCACATTCTAAATCTCTCACATGCTGCTCCTTTTGTTTCACATCCTGACCCTCCTCCTCTTCATGATCCCACTGACATTTGTTGGGCCACTCACATAATTAAAGGATTACTAGATATGTTGAACATATCTAGACCCTACATTTGTAAACATGAATCAGGAGGTAGCAGGTGTGGTGATTTCTTCCTTAGTTGTTCCTATCCCTGAAACAGTAGACAAACTGCTCTAATCTAATCTAAAAAGACAGGCAACCATTTTGATATGGAAACTATTTCACTGCTAAACTGAGCAGAACCACCTAGATAGTGTGTTTACCTCACAATCTGAGCTGCCTCCTCAAGTTTCCCAGGGGCTAAGTGCCCCATATGTCCTTACTTGGTAGCTAAACGTTTTAGCAGCCATCACTACCTTGCCCCATCAGATTATATAGTGCAGTTAGGCATTATCAGTATAAATACGAAGCTGGGGCTACTCTGGAGACATTAATGAAGACACTTTCTACTTTTAAAGATGATGTGCTCATGAAGTTTCCACTAGAATGCTTCAGAATTCATAACTTCTATACAGTAAATGGGATCTTATTTGATATTTGTACATATTTCTTATGAAATCAAACTGTACAATGGAAATAAATTCCTCTTAACTGATTAATATAGATATTATATGACCTACAGCTGTATTTACACTTCATTAGTAGTTCATTCTAGTTTTACTATAGAGAGCAGGCTCAAGAAACGGAATATTTTCCTTCTGATTATCTCCAAACAAAGTTTGATCCTGGAAGATGCTGTAAGCCTTCAACTCCCATTTATGTCGATGGGATTCAAGGGTATCACTTTACAGGAATGAACTTGCACAATAGTATTAACACACGCTCCTTACTCTCCCAAGCAACTCCATGGAAGACATGGTTCACTGGTGTATGGAGTATTTATGAAATTATCAGTTTGCAAGTTTAGCTCTTCTGAAATACAAGTTTCTCAACTTGGCAAAAGGATTTATTTTTATTTTACTTTTATTCTGAGGGTAGAGAATGAGAGATCTATCCTTTCTGCAAGTCTAGATAATTAATATAATATACATCAGTTTTGGAATTCTCATTAAAATAACTTTAGCATAACCACAACACAGACATTTGTAATATGTTTATGTAACTAGATATAAATAAACTAAATATAAAACCATGCACAATAGCTCTGGAGCCCTTTGTTCACAATATTAAAACTACTGTATTACATAAAAAAGGATCTGACAGTATCTAGGCTTGCTCCCTACAAAATATGGCATTCTACATTTAAAGATAATGCATCCTTTAACACAACAACCTTGCTATGTTATGTATGAAAAGGGAAACATTTGAAGAAAGTATCTATAAGTTTCCTCAGAAATGCTTTTGAATTCCAGAATCCCAAGGAGATTAATTGGCTGTCAGATAACAATGCGCCTCCATCAGATGGACTTGGCAGTTGTAAACAAAAGGAATTTTCTCAGCTTTTCCGTACAAATATGAAATATTTGCTCTTAGCCAACAGCTGGGGTGATTTAAAGAAATCCTGCATATATATTAGTTTCATTCAAAACTGCAAGCCCCCTTCCCACCTCAAAACATCCGACTGGATTGCAGAAGAATAAAAAAACTTGATGCCATTAGAGTAGTAAAAGCTTCCAAGCTGAGCACACTACAGTATCTAACTAGGGAATTAAATTTAATAAAAGAAATACTAAGGTCTCAGTTTCATTACTTGAAAAGTGTCACTATAGAACTAAACTCCACTGTTGCAAAAAAACAGTGCCCTTGATATTAACTGCACCTGTCTTGAAAAAAAAAATCAAAATGTCATTGATTAAAAATGTAAACATCCATGTTAACATTTGTAAGAAGTTGCTTAATATTCCAAAGCTTAAAGAAAAAACTTTAATTTCTTAGTCTATCAAATATTTATTATTAATTTAAATTCCCATTGTGGTGCACACATGTAATATAGTTAATTTGTTTTAAAAAGTCAAAGACTCACTGATCAAAATACATCATGATTTTTTTTATACAAGAGACTTATATTGGATAACATTTTCAAAGCACGTAGCAAAAACCAAGCAATATTTTAAAGAGTGAATTAAGTTGATTATAAGAAAATCCTTATTATAGGATATTCAGGAATGAACAGAATTATAAACTTCTTTGACTACAGACAAGACACTGAGTTTATCAGTTGAGTAACATCAAATCATATCGATGATTAAGATACTGACCTTCTGAACTCTAAAATATTCATACTGTTCCTTAGTCAATCTTCTAGTACAATGTAGATTTCAGTTTGGTTTTCTGAGATTAACGTGCAGAAACTAGGTTTAGGAATATTTTAAGTGTATATTCTGCATATTACCCTCCCACAAGTCATGGGAGCAGAAACGCTAGTGTTTATTAGCCACTCAGTTACATAAAATTGACACGTTTTAAAAATTTTACTTCATTATTGCCTTATTTTTGTAACAATTTATATAGAAGGCTTTTTTCAATAGCTTTGAAAAAGCTTGAATAGTCTAATCAGTTCATTTGAGAATTGTGCACATTACCAATTTCTAACAGCATGGCAAAATTGTTACATGGTAGCACTTTCCTTTTGCAGGTGGTTGAAATTTGGTTTCTTACAATGAACCAAAAACTGCACACTTAATCAAAATGTATGTAATCAATGGATTTCTACAGATAAAAGTTGATTTAGCATCTATCAGTTTGTGTCATAAGTTAGAAGCTCATCTCTAGCCTTATATTTGTGTATTTGTAGTTTAAATATTACAGACAGCAGTAGGGGATACACAGCATGAAAAAATTAGGAAGATACCATGAGCCAGATTCTTCTCACTTATACGGATGTAAAGCAGGAGTAACTCCATCAATGTTGGTAGGGTTACACTAATGAAAGACCAAAAATCAACCTCCAAATGTGTACTTTTGAAAAAAAAATAAGAATATGGGACTTGATCCTTCAGAATTGGGCCCCATTTTTTAAAAGAACAAAGTAGTATATTGTATTACCAAAGTACGTTCAGATCTATTGTAGTGTTTTCAGCATGGAGAGAATGTAAAATATTTATACCATGCTATAGATTATTAGAATTTTAATATACTAGAGGTATTTTGCCCTTAGAGATACAATACTGTACACAACATAACCCATAAATTTCTACAGCTATTTTCATATACAGTATCCAAAAAGTAGTATCCTGGGAAAGTTTGCACTGGAAACTTGTAAAAAGCTAGCAATACAAAAAGCTAATACAGTTTAAAGAAAAACAGAGCTCAGCTTTCTATTTACTAGTCTTAATGCGGACATCTGTATTTTGATTACCGTCTGTATAGTTCTGTTTCTCCTGAGTGTTTTGTGACTATTTCCCCCTCTATTCATCAGCTTTCAAGAATAGCAAAGCTACGTAATTTTAAGGGAACAGAACCCAATAAGTATACTTCACATTTTAAAATATTTTGTATAGGCCAGAGTTTTAACTAGTTTTATTTATTACAAAACAGTTAGATGAATGCACATACTGAACATTTTTGTCTATATTCTGTACAGTGAGAATCACACACACACACTTGGCATCTATTCTAGTAATTATAAAGTGTCTTTCTACAAACTGTTGTAAACACTCAAACTCTCCAAGACTGAAATCTCACCTTGGATCTCAAAAAACAAAACCAAAGAAATAGCTTTAGAATATAGTCCCATGCTCATATGGAAAAAAAAGTTAGGTATGTAAGTCCTCGTACATTCAAAGGAGACTTTTTCTTTAGCATTTGAGCCGTTATCTTTGAAGAAAACTGCAATTTACATTTTGAATCTAGACTATTTATCCAGGATTTCCCACCCATTGTAGGTACTGTGAGAAATGCCTAGGGCTCTTGTTTCTCAAACATTTCAAGAGTTGGACTATAAAAAAACCAAAGACAAGTGAAGTGACAAAAAATATAATAAGTTACATTGTCATATGTTTGAAATTAAAAATACTTACAGCCTCTCCAGCTCTTTCAGATCCTGGAATGCTCCCCTTTCAATAGTACTAATCTTGTTCTCCATGAGCTGACTGAAATGTAGAATATTTATATCAGTGAGTTTTAACAGCTTTATGATTACTGGCTGCATTAACACCTGCCATTACTGCACTTTAGCACCTGGTACCTTGCAATCATTTCACCTTTATTAACTCTGCAATTCTTATTCCAAAGTGAAATTTCACATCCAATTTAATATATTTATAACCCCTGTCATTCAACTGGGACACATGTGCATGAGAGGGAGAAAAATAGTCTTTATCATTAAAGGATCATAAAAGCAGACCTCTAAAACTCCAGTTAAATAAGTGGGATAGCTGATCTACACTTTGTATGGCAAAGAAATAAATTATTCAATTAATATTTCACAATTCTGGAGAGACACCTATATCCCCTGGAAATATGCAGTGGTAAAGTATGTCCACAAATGGTATAATACACACACACACACACACACACACACACACACACACACACACACACACACACACACACAAAACTGTGTGTAACAATTTTTAGGACAATTCAGTCCCAAACAATTCTTTTGGCTTCCCTGAATAAAATAGCAATAATTACAAAAAGAGGCTTCATTTAATCAGTTTATAACCAGAAAAACTTAACATTAAGACCTAAAATAATAGACATTAAGGTATCCAGACAATAAATCCAGACAGACAGACTATAGAATATCTATTGGTTTTAGTTTCTAAACAAAAGCAAACAATTTTAAAATAGAGAGTTGTGATTACTTTGAAATTGAATGTATTTATACTCACCTATAGGATTTGGTAATCCTAAATTTACAGTCTACTCAAATGAGAATAAGCTAATTTTAACCAAAAATGAAAAAAAATCCCTTTTCATACATTTGTAAACTACCAATTATTTTAAAGCCTCAAATTAGTTTGTTATATTTATAGTTTTAAGGAAAAGTGTACAAATCATTAAAAGTTATATCCAAAGTAGCTAGCTACCGTGGAATTTTCCAAACTTTTTTTGTCATTGCATCATTGTCCTCCCCCAACCAATATATTTTAAGTTCAGATGTTATAACGTAGGAGTTAAATGAGGAAAATATATAGCTTCACTTTTTAAAAACTAAAATAAATTTTTTTTCCAAAATGTTACACCATTACATCAGAAAGTAAAAACAAGAACTTACAGGACTCGAAGATGTCTTAGGCCAGTAAAGTCAGTCTTGGTGATTCTTGTGATATTATTTCCATTAAGGTCCCTAAAGTGAATCACATATTAGCAGAAAAATGAAACATTCAACAAGGGATTCAAAATTATTTGTTCAGTTTCATGTTCAGTGCTTTAAAACCAATCAAGAACTTAAAGTGCCTACAGTTAATTCATAACATCATCTCTGTATGAATTCCTCATAAAGGGACCATAAATTAAATGTATTTTAAAGTTAATCATTTTAAACTTTGTAAGAAGGACCTTATAAAAACCAATGTATTTACCATTATGTGGCTCATTTACTCTGAGTTTTGGAATTATCTATTTTGTTCATCACAAGTTTATCTTAAACTTTTTGTAATATTTGTATCTAAGTACAATTAGAACTAACCAATAATTAGGCAGAAAACTATTAACATACCAGCATAAAAGAAATACAAACTATGACCAAGAAACAGAGTAATCAGGAGTTATTTGGATAACTATTTTTGCAGCTTATTAGATCTATTACTAAATATCAAAACTTCCTATGGCAAACAGTGCCTAGAAAGCTTCAAAAAGAATCTTCAAATATTTACATTTATAAGAATTTTCCTTACAAACATATGCTTGAAGAGCTTAGTATTCATACTTTCACAGCTCAGGAAATCCCACTGAGACTGAAAAGTGCAAACTCAGAAGCAATGATGGAAATAATAATCAGGCCTTGACATTTTTGTTCAGATTTCAGCACCACTTTCCCTTCTGGAGTTAGTGCCTCTTTTCTGGCATCTTAGGTCAAGAACTAAACTGGCCCTGGTTCCAATCACTGCAAGTAAAACCAGGCTTTACTGTGACTTGAATGTACTTCTTGACCTAAGCCATAGGGGAAACAGTGTTACATAGAAACTAACCTTAGGGTTACTGATCATTTAGAACATTCTTTAGAAAAATCAGCACATTATGTTATTTTAAGCAAAAGTGGCAGGAAACAGTTTCCACTGAACAACGCACAGTTTCTTCACAGGGAAGATTACAGTCAATCACTTTGGGATTTATCTGAGTGCAGACACTGCTGGAGTAAGATGTGTTTACACTTAAACCTTTAAACAGTTCTGAATAGCATGAAACAAGTGATGAACAATTTAAAAAACCCCAAACTTTTTTCCCTCCTCTTCCCTTTTCAAGAAACCAGGACAGTATTAGAGCCAGCAACTCTTTCAGGGGAAAAAAATATGTATTTTTCAGAGAGGATCACAATCTGTATGCAGCGCTGTTATAGCTGTTTTGGTCCCAGGACCTTAGAAAAACAAGGTGGGTGAAGTAAGATCTTTTATTGGGCTAATTTCTGTTGATTAGAGCACAGATCTGGGCTTGTACAGAGAGCTCTTCAGGTCTGGATCCCAATTTGACAGAAAAAAAAAAATCAGAACTAGGGACAGTTTATTCAAAAGCAGTAGTATGTGTAATTGGGGTGAAATCCTCTTGCATGCCCGCTTAAGGGTAGCAGAGAACGCAAGACCAGCTGGGGGCAGGAAGGAAGACATGGAAGAGTTTGAACTTTTTGTAGGGGAAAGATGTGGGCACTAAGGAACATATGTTCTTGCCAGTCTTTCTAAAAAGGGAGTGTAAACACAGTCTCACACACACACACACACAGTATGTGTAATTGGGGTGAAATCCTCTTGCATGCCCGCTTAAGGGTAGCAGAGAACGCAAGACCAGCTGGGGGCAGGAAGGAAGACATGGAAGAGTTTGAACTTTTTGTAGGGGAAAGATGTGGGCACTAAGGAACATATGTTCTTGCCAGTCTTTCTAAAAAGGGAGTGTAAACACAGTCTCACACACACACACACACACACACACCCTCCCCATGGGCAGCCCAGCCGAGCCCAGCCCCTGCCTTGGAGCAAGTGGTCCCAGCCGGCTGCGGGGCCCTGCCCCCAATTTAAAAGCCAGAGCGAAGTTTAGCTTTGCACTAGTGACAAAACTCCCCCACCTACGGCGCCGGGCCGGGAGCAGGGAAACTACCGCCCTACATGTCGCCTGCTCTGTGCCTGCAGCCAGCGG